TTTTCTCTGTCTACAGTCCCACCTTGTCGTTGAAAGAAGCCGTATAACGTATATATAGCTCCACATCTCTACATGCCAGTTTGCCGCCGTTCACAATGAAATTCAGACTCGACCCGAGGAGGGAGTTTGTAAAGACAAAAGACAACCTCACAGTATCAGAGCTGCTCTTAGGCTCGAGAGAAATCATGGACATTTGTTTATTCAGATTTTGACGTTATCTAAGGGCGCTTTTCCAGGTGGCGTCGGAATTCCACGCTTTCCTGTTTCCGGTCCTGGCACTAATGCTGGGACTGATTCTTGACGAGGTGAACAAGCGCATAAGCTTCCTAGGTATTCCGGACAGCGTGCTACAGTTCCTTATAGCACTGTTTGCTAGGTGAGTGGTTGTGAATTATGATTTCCATTGGTAGGTATTAGTATAGGTAGTAGCGAATTGTTAGGCCGAGGTCTTGTATGCTGTTAAAAGTAAGTGTAGCGAAACTTAACAAAACATTTGATCAGTTGCGAATAGTTGGGTATATCGTTACCGAATCAGGAGTGGTATAAGCGCTCGTGTATCCCCGAATGTTTACAAGCGCTTCAGTGCCGAACATGAAAACCTACCAGGTTCTTCACGTCAATGGCACCGGAGTGAGTGAGAGCTATGGCACTCAAAATAGGAGATTAAAATTCATACTCACAAGTGTGGGGTGGTGCCGGGATTGTTGGTGGATCACTGAGAGTGATAACAACTGATAGAAACTTGTAAAGAGCCTAGAACGCGAAAGTCTCCACTTGCATCACAAAGCCCCGTTGCACTGGAGAGTTCTAACTTCAAAAAGTTGTGTGGGTGAGACAGGGACATTGTGTCGATATAACCTAGATAAGCTTGAGCGGGTTCTTAGCGAATGATACATTTCATTCTAATCCAGTACCAAGAGGATCAAAGCTCATTGAACCGCTAAACCTTAGAATTTTCTTACAATGTGAATGGATAAATCTTCAATGCCCACTAATTATAAGTGATCATGTTTCATTTCTCTTTTAAAACTGACAGCATAAACCTATTCACTGCAAAATCTCCGAATTCAAGCAAAATGCTGGGTGTTTACAGAGTTATGATAATGATTTCAGCTTAGGTTCGCAAGCTATCATGAGCATTTATGATCGATCTTCAATTAAGCGAGCCCTGTCACTCATATAACATATTCATTAATGAGGTGCTTTGTAGAGGAAGAGGTTCCTTCCCACAGGTTCTCCAGTTTCGCTGACAAGAGAGGTCTTTCAGGGCAAGGTGCACTTTTGGAAACGGTTCAGTACATAATGTAGGAACGCATTGTATGGACATAAAAACATGTTATCTTCCCGCTGAACCGTTTAGTAGCACAAAAGTCTTTCAACAATACTCTTGATGTTTTTTGACTGTTTTTGTTTGTTAACTGCTGTTTTTGGCCGCAGTTCGCCTTGCGAATGTTTCACAAGAATGCTGGGTTGTGAACAAAACTTTCGCCCCAGGCGGGACTAGAACCCGCACCTCTCGCTTTCCGGGCAAGTGCGCTACCAGTTACGCTACCGGGGCACCATTTCATTCCAACTCAGCTCTTGCCCGGAAATGGCCGAAGGTGCGGGTTCTAGTCGCGCTGGCGAAATTTTCTTTTACAACCCAGGCATTCCTTGTGAATACTCTTGATGGTTCAATCCCGCGGCGACTAAATTTTGCAATCAAGGTTGGCGGCCACTTGTTGGCTTCAAAATGGTCCTGACGATGAATTTGACATCTGATTTTGATATTTAGCGCGATTTGGCACCAAACCGTAGGCGCCAACCCAAATGCAAAATTTAGTCGCCACGGGGGATCGAACCCTTAACAGTACCTTATGCTTCTTTTTTGGTACTGCTATAACCGTTCAGCGAAAATGAAACATGGTTTTGCGTTCCCTACATGCGTCCCTACAATATGCACAAACCGTTTTAAAAAGAGCACCTTGCGCTGAAAGACCTCTCTTATGAGCCACACCGTGTGATGCGCGCGATAACGGGCAAAGCAAAGCTCATGTTAATTTGAAAGCTCATGATTTACACATTCGACACAAGCCTAAGATGAGTATAACATGTAGAGATCAGCTGTCAACGGCCACATCAGGCGAGGTCTTTCCTCATACAAGTACATAAGTAGAGGTACGAACCGTAGGTGCAGCCGTAACTACACTGCGACGCATAATGAAAGTTCCGCCTTCAAATTTCCGAAAAACTTGCATCTGGGGATGTTTTCGAGAAAGACATTAGAGACAAAAAAGCAAAACTCTATCAAACTCCGTAAAAGAATATCCTATCGAACGAGCGCAGGAATTCTCATGTGCAGTTCACGTGAATTCGGTCAGGTTCAATTCATAACGGAATAAAAATAATGGAATGGTAACATAATAATATGGCGTATAATGAAATGGTGCCCCGGTAGCGTAACTGGTAGCGCCTTAGCCCGGAATGCAAGGGTTCTTGTCCCACCTGGGGCGAAAGTTTTGTTCACAACTCAGCATTCTTTGAATCACAACGAAAATTCTCAGGATCCTGCAGGATATGATTCGTTGGAGGCGGTATAACTTAATCAACGCAGAGGTTTACAAAAATATCCTGGAGGAAGTTCTCAAGCCGTGGGCCAACTCCCATTTCGGAGAAGCCTACTGGTGCTTCCAGCAGGATTCTGCTCCAGCACACAAAGCAAAGATGGTCCAGGAGTGGTGCGCCGAGCACCTGCCCGACTTCATCAGACACGACGAATGGCCCTCCAGTTCTCCTGATCTAAACCCGATGGATTACTCTGTGTGGTCCATCTTGGAGAGCAAAGCGTGTTCTACCAGACATCCAAACTTGGACTCTCTTAAGGCGGCGCTTTCAAAATCTTGGGACGAAATCGATGACCAGTACCTGCGTGCCACATGCGAAGCATTTGTCGAACGTCTGAAGGACTGTGTGAAGGCTAAAGGAGATCATTTTGAGAAGCATTAACATTTTTTGTATTGTCATGTTTGTAGTAAATAATATTGATAATTAGAATTGATTTGTGAGAATTATTGTCAAAATGCCATTGAAAATTTAGTGCACCAGTAATTTTGCCCCCACCCTGTACTGGCCACACCCTAGGCAGAATGACAGTAATAGGGCCGAACCTCATGGATCGGATCAAAAATCTAGCATACCCTGATGATATCCTCCTGCATGCGTCTGCCACGCAGAAACCCAACTCAATCAAGCATAATGTAACAAAATTATCCAAATTCGGAGGATTCAGCTGAAGTAATGAGTCTTCCCACAGACTGCTTATGGGTGCTGCGTTCTGTGACTTTGCTCTAATTACTCATGGTGAGAAAAATAATACAATTTCAGTGTCGCATTCACAAATTCCTTCCTGCGGATGTTGTTTAAAGAGCTGATTAATAAGTATTCATGGACATCACTACAGCCAGAAACGCTCTTAATGGTAATATTCTTTCAGATCTTCATTTACCCTCCCTTCTCAGCAATTCTTGAAGAGTCGTTTTAGGTCATGCTTCCTCCACTTTTGTTTGAGTCTTCGTTCAAAATCAATCCGCATTTATTCTTCGCCAAAATCTATCTCATTGTAAGCCTGACAGTAGTTGCCTACTACGTTCACGCTATTTCATCGCCGGTGCGATATATGCTGCCGTTGCTAACTCAAAAACGCAGCAGCTAAAATTTCCGCGTACGCATTAACTCTCTTAAGTGCCATAAAAAAACTTGTTCAACTTCTAGTGCAGTCTGCTCGTAAGTCGCAGATAGGCTCCATCTACCACACAAATGTCCAGCGATAAGGCGCGTATGGTTCCGACTCCAGTAAATAAGCCGTAATGAAAAGATGCGTTATAACGGGAGATGAGTCATGAGAGTAGATTACAAAGGTTATTTTAACGAAAGCTAAAATACCAGCGAGATTAAGATGCCAGCCACTGCGATCAAAGTAAAGTGCGTCATGGTGGGGATAGAGAAAAAAATCATAAAAAACGTCCCTAACCAGAAGTGAAAGCTTTTCCTGTCCGTTAATTTTCTCAATTTGTGCGCACTAACCGTCTGCCTTCTTCATCGCTATAGTCCCTGTCGTAAAGCGTCAATACACCTTCGATAAGTGGTTAGCCAGTGAGTGGGCGTGTCGCGCCCATAGCACCGCGGGGCGAGCCATGCTAGATCGCCGGCGGCATTTCCTTCACTGCGTGTCAGTCCGTCGCCTTCGTCTCGCTAGGTAGGTTTCCCCTTCTTGCACTTTCACCTTATCGGGAATCCCTTTGAGGCGAGCCAGTGACTATCCTGCCAGTCGGCTTAGTGCAAGTAAAATAGACATTACTACTTCTAAAATATCCCTCTGTGCCCTTCTGTTACCTTACCGGAACGTTTAAGAGAGATGATAGACTGTTTTATCCAAACTCAGTTCTGATTTGTGATCGCTCTCCAACATGATGCTAACCGCACACATTTTTCGCGTTCAAGGGGATTGTAAAGATCATGCTCTTCTACATCTTTTAGGTGTTCTTATTTATCTCAATAATTGTCGCCACCGATCCAGTTGCTGTGGTTGCGATTTTGGAGCAGTACGGTGCTCCTCATCGGCTACGAATTCTCATTCGAAGGCGAATCCCTTCTGAATGATGGTCTCGCATTGTTCACTTACAGAATACTGGAAAGCGCGCTAGAGGTATGCCTCTATGCGATTATCGATTACCTACTCAACATGCAGTCATTTCTTTTCTTACCACAGGTTGAGCTGGGAATTTCTAAACAAGTTCGATGTACCGCAGCTATTTTCGTGGTGGTCATGAGCGTCGTTGGTTCGCCAGTGATCGGCACCATCGGGGCAAGAGTGGTGGCCTGGATCATTGCGAAATTACAAGAGAATAAAAAGCGACAGGTTTTGCATTTGCTCTAAAGGCGCGCTCCCCTCTATGTAGAATCTTCAGTTCACTCGTATTCAGGCATTTATTCTGGTTCCGTATATGGCATGTTCATGCTATGTGAAACATGCAACGCTTCTCCAGCTCTCGGCCTTGTGGTTCTTCGGGATCATGCTCAGCTCATACAGGTTACACCTTTTACGATGAAGTCTTTCAGGGTGTCGCCCCGTCCGGCGCCGCGTGTGGATAAATGCAGCGTCTCCTCCGCGGCCTTCAAAAATGACGAATTCAGCCTCGTAGCGACAATGCAAAAAGCATTCACGCTCGGTGATGCCGACTGAGCTCAGTCAGTGACCTAGATCGCTTAGTTCACCATTTTGCCAAATAGCGTCTGCTTTCTGCTCCCTGCCGCTTCAGTGGTTATCACTATTCGTGACTGCTTATGAGCCAAAATAATGACGGGAAAAAGACATTATGTCTCAAAAACGCATAATAGCTGATATAACAAATAAACATCAGAGATATTCCCGCCTCCATATGACAAAGTAAAACCAAAAGCGGCACTAACGCCATATTTTGTATTCACACGAGCTTTCAGATGAAGGAGAATGGAATGTCGTCGCACCAACGAAGACGCGTAAAAAATGATTTCAAGCATTCTGCTTTAGGAGACCAAAGCTTTTTAGGGCTTTCATTTGCGATTGCTTCGAGGGTGTATCACCCAGGAAATCTAATGACATTAGGTAGAATGTTCTTAGTGTAACATTCCTTCAAAACAATGAACTTGAAAAATCACTTTCGGAGATTTCGCAAGAATGCACTCAAAGATATCGCAACCGCGGGTATCATTTCTCCAACTCAGCTCTCATGTACGCTACTAGCTTATCATGCACGCACACGTATAACGTGTTAATAGCCGTTAGACCGATATCGGCAAGACGCTAAAAGTCTTGTATTATATATTTTTGACTTTGTTTTGTTTGTTACCTCGTTTGTTGCAGCAGTTCGTTCTTTGCAAATATTATCACAAGAATGATGGGTTGTAAACATTGGGCACATTTCATGTATTTCACCATTATACGCTGAGGTGCTGATAAGCTATCCGTAAGTCTACCATCGAAAAGCTAAGCTGGGATAATTCGTGTCCCGTAAGCGATAACTTTGGATAAGGACTAAAAAAAAAAAGGCAGGGATAGCCGAGTGGTTAAGAGGTTAGACTCATGTCTGCACCTCTGAAAACCGCGAGTTCGATCCCTGCCGAGGCTCTAAACCATGCCTTGCAAAAATTGCAAAAATGGTTCTAGTACCAGCGTCAGGCCCAGGTTGACAGGCCGGCTGATGAATACCCCAGTCACACCAATATGTCTAAAAGTTGTCAAAGAATCAGTGATAAAGCTAGGACCCGGATAGTGGCGCATCAGAACCCCCGCCCGAGTTCTGTGGTCAGTATGCGAGGGCTACCGAGGAGTGAACGGCCTCGGCCAAAGAAGCTAGTTCGAATAGGGACTCTAACGTGGGATCGCTAACTGGGAAGTCCCGAGAGGTTGCTGACCTGATGACGCGCAAGAATATCCAAGTCCTATGCCTTCAGGAGACGCGATGGAAAGGTGCTAAGGCCAGAGAAATCGCGTTATAGAGTATCGCAAGCTTGTTGCCCGCGAAGTTATACGAACGAAGTTATACGAACGAGGAATACGAAGGGAGAGAGGGTTCTGGACCTGGCTACGGCCCACGACTCTGGCAATCTGCAGCACGTTCTTCGCGAAAAGGGAAGACTCAGAAGGTAACCTACAGCAGTGGAGGGAGACAGACGGAAATCGACCATGTGCTGGTGAGAAGATCAACCCTCAAAACTGTGAAGGATATCAAAGTTCTACCCGGCGAAGATCTGGCTCCCCAGCACAGGCCCCTCCTGGCAGACATTGCGATAGACCTCCCCAAGAAGACAAGGGTAAGAACCGAGAGGAGAATCCGGTGGTGGAAGCTGCACCAAGCGGAGAAGGATGACCTCAGGCGAAAGATAATGGAAGTCGGTCTCCCAGATCCTAACGGGCCAGTACAATGGACTTGGGGCAACGCGGCTGAGACCATCCTGCGATGTGCCAAGGAGGTCCTGGGTGAGACGCGAGGTGGACTCAGAGGAGACAAGGCAGCGTGGTTCTGGAACGAGGAGGTCCAGCGAGTCGTGAAGAGGAAGAAGGAAGCATACAAACGCTGGCAGAAGAGCCGAAGTCCCGAGAACTTCGCTGCCTACAAAACCTGCAAGAGGCTTGCGAAGGCTGCCGTCGCAAGGGCAAAGAACACAGAAATGGACGCCCTGTACGAGAAGTTGGAGAGCCGAAACGCAGAGAAGTTCGTCTTCAGGCTGGCTAAGGCCCGGCATCGTGCTACCCAAGACATCAGGGTGGTGAAAAGTGTGAAAGGCAGAGATGGTGTCATCCTAAGGAAGCCAGCCGAAGTCAAAAGGAGGTGGGAAGAGTACTACAGTGCACTTCTGAACGAGGAGTTCCCCCACGAGAACAACTCACGGGCAGAGGCCACAGCTGGTCCCATCGCACTCTGGACTGAGGATGAGGTTAGGTGTGCACTTGGGAGGATGAAGATTGGGAAGGCGGTTGGCCCAGATGGGGTGCCAATCGAGGCTTGGAAGGCGCTCGGTGAGTACGGGATAAGATGGCTCACACGATTCCTCAACAACATAACTGCGGAAGGAAGGATGCCAGATGCCTGGAGAACAAGTACTATCGTCCCCATCTTCAAGCAGAAGGGTGACGCGATGGACTGCTCCAACTACCGCGGGATCAAGTTGACTGCTCATACAATGAAGCTGTACGAGCGACTGGTCGACTCGAAGACTGCGGGAGCTGGTCCCGATCTCCCAGGAACAGTTCGGGTTCATGCCCGAAAGGTCTACAACGGATGCCATCTTCATCGCAAGGCAAGTGATGGAGAAGTATCGAGAAAAGCGCCGACCCTGCTACCTAGCCTTCCTCGACCTGGAGAAGGCGTTCGACCGGCTACCACGAGCGGTACTGTGGAGAGCGCTTAGAGAACGGAACGTGCCAGAACACCTGGTCTCGCTGGTGAAGGACATGTACGACGGGGCTAAGGCAGCCATACGCACCCCACATGGCCTAACAAAAGAGGTAAACATCACGGTTGGGGTGCATCAAGGGTCAGCTCTGAGTCCGTTCCTCTTCCTCCTAACACTAGATGTCATGGTGAAGGGGCTCATAGAAGGACCACTAAAGACCATCCTCTACGCTGACGACATCGCCCTGATAGCTGATAGCAGAGAAGAACTACAGGCCAAGGTGCAGAAGTGGCAGAAGGTCCTGGCAGAAGGGGGGCTCCGGCTAAATGTCAAGAAGACCAAGTTCCTGAGCTCCTGAAGAGAGTGCAGAGCCGATCGTGGATGGACATGGCGAAAGCATCGAAAGAGTGGAGGACTTCCGATACCTTGGGAGTGATCTGGCGGCCGACGGCAGTGTGGACCAGGCAGTAAAGGGGAGGATCAACGCGGCATGGATGAAATGGAGGGAGTCCACTGGAATCCTCTGCGACCGAAGGTGCTCCAGAACGCTCAAAGGGAAGGTGTACCGAACAGTGGTAAGGCCTGCGATGCTCTACGGCAGCGAGTGCTGGCCCCTGAACAAGAATCACGAAAGGCAGCTTCACTCGCCGAAATGAGGATGCTGAGATGGGCCTGCGGCTGGACGCGACTGGACAGGTCAGGAACGAGGATGTCAGAACGGTCATGCAGACTGCCCCTGTCCAGCTGAAGGTGAGGGAGCAGCGACTGCGGTGGTATGGGCATGTGCTGAGAAGACCGCAAGGCCACCCGATAAGGAATGCATGGACTTTCGAAGGCAAGCGAGCCCCAAAGAAGAGGTGGAAGGATGTGATCAAGAAGGACCTAAGTGAAATCACGGCCACTGCAGGAAGATGCCCTAGACAGAGCGAAGTGGCGACGACTGATAAGACAGCGGACCCTGCGACTGCGCGGGACTAACGCTAGGGAGAAGAAGAAGAAGAAGAAGTAGCTAACTGGTAGCTTCACTTGCCCGGAAAGCGAGAGGTGCGGGTTCTAGTCCCGCCTGGGGCGAAAGTTTTGTTCACAACCCAGCATTCTTGTGAAACATTCGCAAAACGAACTGCGGCCAGAAACAACAGCTAACATACAAAAAACTTTCCAGAGTTTTTCGTACCAACCGACGATTGACCACTCGCTCGTCTCCTTCTATGCTTCAGCCTTCTACGAGTCTTTTGACACTTGCTCTCGTGCCTGCTTTCCTCTTAGTGCGAGTTCAATAGCGTTTACAGCTTTGTTTTCAACAGCATAACTCGCTTTTTTAAATATCTCATTCCTATTATTTGCCAATTTACTATGGGTAAATGGTAAATATCTGTGGAGTGATTCCAGAGAAATGTTCGCCCCTGAGACGACTGAGATGGCCCTGGAGCTTTGGCTGCTATGGGATACTGGGCTAACAACGTGATTTTCATTTTTGCCGGATTTAGCGTTGGTTTGGAGATGTTCAGTCGCAGCGAGCACAACTTCTATCGCCAGGTTATAGCCTATGAAGGTAATACACTGGTCTTCCTTACAGTAGTATATCTGATCTTCAGCTACACGGCAGTACTTACTTCGAGATTGACGTAGAGGATATGGCGGTTATCATTGAAGGAATGCTACTATCACCTGTACCACTTTTTGCCAGAGTTGCCTCTATATATTTATTCTATAAAGTTAGTCGATCAGTAACAATAGTCATTATTCGACCGCCCATTTAGTTTAATTACAGTACTCGGGCCTGCTCTCTTCGCAGCCGATTCCTCCTCGGTCGGAATTCACTATTTTGGCATACGCAGGACTTCGTGGAGCGCTTGGTCTCATATTGGCCATGGAGCTGCGCAATAAGGTACGAGAAGGGTATGACTACATGACAAGGATTGTCGATGGGTGTGTGACATGTGGCCAGGCCGCAAGAAGCTGCACATACTCTAAGCCATGAAGCGTACAAGTTCGTACACCTCATATTGGCTTAATGGGTCACTGGTTTAGGTATAGTCTTTGAAACACATCGGCCATTTTTGTGAAATGCTTTCCATATTCACCGTGAAATTTCAAGAAATTGGTGAGCTGATTATAGGCGGTGCTTGGAGTGAGGACCGGTGTATAGGGTGGTCACAAATTACGGTAACAAGATAAAGTGTTTACAGATAATCTACACAGTACGTAAATATCAGTCGGAAAACATTCCTATATTAAATGAACGTTAAGAAACAAGAAAACAGGGGTACTTCCCAATATGGCTGACGTTGACATTGACGAAGGAGCAATGTAGTCCGTGCAATCCATTCACCGCATCATGTTAGTGGTAAACGGCGAGTTCATCCTAAGCAGGAATTTTGAAATTGGGCCTCTCCACGCTCGTGGGCCTTCTTTTGAGAAATTTCTGGTGCTCTCTAGCCTACAGTCTAAATCATCTCATTGTGATTATAAATATGCCTGCAGCTGCTCTTTTTACCGTAATTTGTGGCCACCCGTAGATACAGACAAGCGCGTATCGGATAAGATGGAGGAGGTATAACAGAAGAAGAAAGACCTCGCATGAATCACCAAGTATGGCTCATTAGGACAGAGAGCGGTCTTTCCGCGTTCCGCAGCGCGAAACACTTTCCTGCGGGAGGCTCAGGTTCACCGCTGACCATGAGTGGACTAGAGGTTCCCCGCAGCGAAAAATGTCTCGCGCTACAAAATGCGAAAATGGCCTTCTGCCCCAGAGCTGAATCCACACAATCACTTGCGACGTAACGTTGCACATGGACTTACAAAAGTGCGCGTGACGCCCCATCACTTCAGGTAGGTTCTGAATCGGCAACAGCGCTATCTTCTTGCAAAGCGCAAGTCTCATCACTTTCCTCGCTTACGGGACTACTCCACGCTGACTTTTGGCACCTTTCCACTCTCTGAAATGGTGATCAATACGACAAAGTGCAATGGCGACAGCACTGTAGATATTTTGCAATCGACACATATCTATGTAAGTAAGACACTGGACAGTCATCGCCTGCGAAAAAATTGTGTACCCTGAACATCCTGACCCTTTGGTACACACCTCTTCATCGCTCGGTAATTGAAATCATTTTCAGATCGGAGGTCCACTAACCAAAAACATCCTACTGCTGACCTGTTCAACAACATTTGTTTCCTGTATTTCAGGTAACTCTAGGATCAATAAACTAGGGGTGAACAAGTTGACGCAGCTCTGACCACATATTACAGGGCAGACATTCGAGTTGGTGCAACTAGAGAAGGATCTACGAAAAGGTCCAAGTACGTGAAGGACACATGCGTTCGACTGTGTCGTTTTCTAGAGGTCAAAGTAAGTGCTCCAGTAATCTCAAGTAGGATTAAATTTCTTAATTGATTGGTTTTACCTTATTTGTTAAGGTTCGAGAAGCAGTCAGGCGATGGAAGTGGATCGAAGCCCTTTCCTGAATGGAGCCAATTGGAATGTGGTGAAAGTTCAGACGTCAGGCTGCCTTGGCAAGCATACTGCATCCATGGAGCACGAAATGGTAAGTCCCATTCCCTATCCATCAATATCACTTCGAAAAAAACTTATAAAGCAGCAGCGATCATCGTAGATCTACTTACACAATTTCTAAGCGCATTATCATCTACCTAGGTGTCTTAGAATTTGCACAAAAATGAATTAGTAAGGTCCTGTGAATAAAGGAAAATAATTTAGGCGCTCTGCGTACAAAGACCGACGCCTTCTGAGCATTAAAATAGTACGGGATCGGCGGCTTAAAGGATTCCAAGATAAGGTTGAAGGAAATAAGGGGATACTTACCTAGTGGAGGAACAGCACGCATTCCTCGGGAAGGATATGTCCCGGCGACCTGTATGACCCTCCCCACGACGGTATCGGCGCGGCACGCTCTTCACTAACCACACGCTGCAGCTTGTCCATTTAATAGAGATTAGAGCTTTAACGATGAAGGGGAAGCACCGATGAGAGTGGCATCAATGCGGAAATTAACGGGCAAGGAACTGGTCCCATTCCTCGCATACGGTCTTGAGCCGTTCTAGCACGATTTCTCCTTATTCCGCACCACTGAAACCTTTGCCTGATTTCGTTATAGGCGCCTTCCAGCTTTCAAGAGTAGGCAAAGAGCTAAGAAGGATTTTAAACATAGGAGCAATGGTAGGCACGCGAGGCGCACAATACTTGCTTAAGAAGCGGGCAACGCCAGCGAGGGCGTGGCCGGTGTGCTGAAAGTTGCCCGAAACAGCATCTACCAATGCAATAAAAACCCCCATACATCTATTTCACCGAAGCAATCTTCAACAAGCTATCGCGCCGTAAACCATTAGCTCGGTTCGTGAAAAATCAGGGACGGTAGTAAAGTGCCCTAGACTGGCAGTCAAATGTGGTGATTTACACCCATTGGCGAGGAATAGAGAACGTGGAAACATGGACATGACCCTGAAACCGCGAGCCTCGCCACCCGACCTGCAAAACTTGCAACTCTCTCGGAATTGAGCCCTGGATGGTAGGGCTCATAGGCTGGTTTTTTGCCACTGCACCAGGGATCACTCGACCACAACACTGGAAGAGATGTTGATGAAAGGTATGCAATGGATGTTGCTTGCAAAGTCTTAGTCTCCAAGCGGTGCTGATCCAGCAACCTTGCCAGCGGCAGCGTGGAACGTCCCCATTGAGCCAATGGCAATTTGCCATAGGCGAAGTGGTGAGCATCCACCACGTTGCTTGCAAAAGTCGCGTCACACACGGGTTTGAACCTTCGGTGCATCGTCCCATGAGCGGCATCGCTACCACTGCACTATGGAGCCCTTCTTATTGACGGTGAAAGAATTCTAGAGGAAAGGCAATAACCCACAAAAGTTGCAAAGATTTTGACATCTAGTAGTATCGATCCCGTGGCCGGCTCAACACAAACGTGGACCGCAGGCGCTACACCATTGACGGATCAATGCAAGTTGCTTCCCTTTCCCTTTTCAACTTACTGCGTTGACCCACACAGCCTGGCTGTTTGGAGATGGCCATCTCTAAAAAGTCCTCCGGAGGACTTTTTAGAGATGAAGTGGCAGCATGTTTGCGCCCTCCACCGCGCGCGCACTATTTCCTTTTCCTCTGCCGCCATCGCTGTTAGTTTATAAATGACCACCCTGCTAATCCTCTTACTAGCACGTGATGTCATCACCCCAACTTCCAAGTAAGTTCGAACTCACTTCGACCATTCCGACGGGGAATCTTCGGAGGGGTTCCAGAGGTGCTCTACGCATCTTTTAGGGAGACATGGATGGAAGCCATGACCAAGTTACCACGAGCTCATGGTCACATGGTAACTAGCAGTTGAGGCCACTTTACTACCCCTCTCGCAATTGCAATCCCCCAGAATTTATTCCACGGGAGATTCAATCTCAACAAGCTGATCGCGCCGTAAACCATTAGCTCTTCTGAAAAATCTGATTCTTTCATGTTTAGCTGCAACAACAAGACGACGGAATGCAGGACTCTTCTGATGACGAAATTACTGAAAACGAAATCAAAGGAGAAGTCATAGACGCAAGAATCGGATTTATGGAATACTTTTGCTAGCATGCGTTGCCATAGATTCACTTCTAGTTTAATCTGGTGCAGCTGTTAGCATTCATAGAGGTTATTGATTCGAAGTTCTCACTACATTCCTCTGGTGTCGGTATGGAGACCCAGCTCGGGGTGGGGCAGCGAAAATTACGATTGACCTCTCGCCCGTGAAGGTAGCAGTATCCAATCGAAATGCTTTCGTACGTTCAGTGGTGTCGATCTTTTGTGCTACCGTAGTAGCATAGCTTCAGAGTGGGGACGCACGTAGTATGAGGCGTCAGGCAATTGCTTCTTCAGTTAAAGGATGGGTGCCTATTAGGCGCGTAGGTAGGCGATCAGGCGATTAAAAGGGCAGCTGAAACAAATCTTCGCGTCCCTTTCTTACTGCCTAATTGTCTGCCCTCAGCCAACATGTGCGATCGCCAACTCTGAACGCTGTCGCGATGCGTGGAATGCGCTACTATGAAAGAGTTGTAGAACTCGTTAATCTCCTCGCAGAAGCTGAGTTAGAGCTTCCCGCAGTGGGGGGGCGCTACAAATGAATCCCTTATGTGATCTTGGTAAGCATTTAAAGGCAAACCCTGGGATTAAGCTGGTGCTAAGAGCGCTTCGTAGTGATAGCTTAGCTGCGGAACGACCTGAAAGTGGAGAGGAAAGCAAGAGAACTCTTGGGAACGCTGAATTAAGGCCTTAACCTTCAATAAGGTCGGATGTGGTACGATGGCGAGACAGGGCGATCAAAGAAGACAAAACACGCGAGAGATCACGCCGTTCGAGAGAGCACGCCGATATCGAGGTGGGTGGGAAGCGTTGCAACGGGGTCGATGGTTGCAGGCCCGTAAGGATTAGCGCCCTTAACCGCGCAACTTTTGCGGCGAAGGCTGGGTGATCTAGGTAGTAGGGACCTTACAATTTCCCGCCGGTATACTTCCTACTAATCGGGCTAATCCCGAGGTCTCCCTTTAGCTTGGTCCAACGAGGATCGCTTCCCTTGAGGTTTGCTCAAAGAGTGCTGAAGGAACACCCGGAGACCTTTCCCTCATCTTCCGTTTTTCCTTCTTAATTTTCCTTTTTGAGAATCACAAAATGCCATAATCTCTTTAGAACTGCAAATAAATTGAGGGAATTGACCGGAATGAAACTTTTTCGAATCGTTTACAAACAAATGTCGCTGATGCACCCTCAGAAAATCAACAGTTTGTTACGCGAAATTTTGCTAGAGGCCGGGCACGTGTGACAAAAGAATAGCGATTCGTTTATGTACAGCCGAAAGCGACCTCGTGCCATACTCATCGCTTTAGACTTCTCCTGCCTAGGGCACTCTCCTACATTTACCAAGCTCATTAGCCTCAAAGGTAGTAGTGGTCGCGACAATCTCATAGGGACGAAAA